AAAATCTGGCCACTTACTAGATGTGACCCTGAGCAATTCACTTAGCCCTGTTTGCCTCAGTTTCCTCATCTATAAAATGAACTGGTGAAGGAAATGGCAAACCACTCCAGCATCTTTGTCAAGAATACCCCACATGGGAGCACAACTGAAATCGACTGAACAACCAAGAATATCAATGGCTCCCAATGTTGATCCAGGGTACCATATTAATGTAAACTGGCAAGATCTATGTTAATTATTTGATTGCCACCATTTCATAGCTTTGCATGATGTACTTTACCTTGGATTTCTGCTTTTATGCCACATTAGTACTGTATTCCTTCCATGAGCTTTGGTTAAGATGTGACATTCATCTACGATATAATGCTCCATTCCCTGCTGTCATTGACTCATAATGCTTATGACACAAAAGGATCTCATCAATCATTCTCTGAGTGTTCCACCCTGGGGTCATGGATTCCATGTTAAGGCATTTCTTGGTTCATGAGACCTATAATAATACCCCTAACACTGCATATATCCTAGGTTTAGGAGATACTGGGACCCCTGAGCAGATAATTTTTTCCCTGTAGGTATTCTTTGCTCAATAAAACATTCAGTTTGAACTATTAGTGAATCAGTCAATAAGCATTTATTAAGTGTTTACTAAGTGCTAGGCACTGTGCTTAGCAGTGGGGATACAATGAAAGGCAAAAAAAACCAATCCTTGCTCTTGGGGAGCTTACATTCTAATGGAGAAAACAGATGAAGAGCTAGGTACACCTAAAGTATTATAGAGAATATGGAAGACAATCTTGTGGCATGTTCCTTGGCTTAATTCCAAACATAAAAGAGCTTGCCTATTGTTTCAATTGATAAACTGATACTTTCAGACTATTGTACTGTTCTCTCCACCCCCACATACCCATTTCTTTGCACACTTAAGTTCCTTGGAAAACATCCTAATAAAATCATTGATAACTTCCTGTAATCTTACTATATTTACAATTCTCAAAGATGTCACTTGATGTTAAATGATAAAGATAGTAATAAGGATAATGGATTTGTGATCTAAATACCATATTTGTGAAATAATGGGTTGAAAATATTGACTCAGTTTCAGAAAAATAATTTTCGTCTCCACCTTCAACATCCATACTCTGCATCACATCACAAAAGCTTTCTGTCACAAACGGGATACATCTGAAATGGTTAAAATTTTCATGCTTCTGCTGTTAACACCCACCAGAATTTGGAACAATTATAGTTTTATGCAATAAAAGTGCAAAGACATTATCTTGTAAGGAGTTTTTTAGCTCAGATTTTTTCCCTTCCACAATGACCCTTTTCTGTTCTATTGATGTTTCCATCCTAAAAAGTAAGTCTTACTCCTCTTTTTGTTGTATGCAGCAAAAATTCAAGAAACTAATGGAAGCAAAGGATGGATTCGATGGTGTTCTGCTTTGGGGCACATAGGAAGTTATTGTCTCATTTCTTTCCTATTGCTTCTTATAGTGAAGAAATGATTACAGGGATAAAAATTTATGCGCCAGAAAAATAAGATTATTATTTTAAAAAGCAACACTTTCATTTCAAAAGTAATCAAAATTAGAGTGTCACCAACATTACCTTAAAAGCATTTGTACAAATCTGACACCTAAAATCCCATAGATATAAAAAAATCATTCTTTTACTGCTGTGTCAGTATGTTTCTCAGTTTATGGTTCTTACATTTTCCTGTATTTCTTTTCTTTAGTCTTCTACAAGTCTCTTTCCCCACTTTTCTCTTTTCTTCTCTTTCTCCTTGTATTCATTTCATTTCTAGTGGTTGGGGTCCCTCCCCCCTCATCACTGTGTATTATTGGTAGATAGCCTGTATTTACCTATCAGTAAACCTGTTGTACCGCCCCAACACCCAAGTCAAAAGGTAAACTCCAGGATAGAGACTGTCTCACTGTTGCACTTGTATTCCTGGAATTTAGCATAGTGTTTGGCACTTAGCAAGTTCTTAATAAATGCTTACTGATTGATTATGAGTTCCTTATAAACAAAGAATAGCCTTTTGTGTGATTCTCTCAAAATAAGCTTCATGGCACCTTAGTGACTTAAAAGAGTGAATCCATGCATCAATTCAGTCATGGAGTCAGATAGGAATAAACATTGAATTTAGATTTAGAAGCCCTAAATTCAGATCCCTAATCTAAGATTTATTAGCAGACCAAGGGCAAGATACCTCAACTCTCTGAGCTCCAGTTTCCTTAATTGTACAATAGAGATACTAATAACTGTGATAGACTAGATAACAACTCTCTCACAGGGTTGTTTTAAGTTCAATTAGGATCATTAAGGGCAAATTCTACCTATGAATAATATTACAATGAGTCATGTTGGAGCTGTGAATAGAATACTTGGTTTGCTAACATTAGCTGTTTACCTAGCCACTTAAAATCTAAACCTCCTTTTCCCCTTCTGTGAAATGGCACCTATAAAATCTACCTCATCAGATTTTTGTGACTCCCCAGTAAGAAACTCTGAAAGTCTTAACACTCTGATCAATGCAATGACAAATCATGATTCCAGAGGACTGATGACCAGTCTTCCCATCTCCTAACCAAGAGGTGATGAATTCAAGTTGTACAATGAAACAAAAATTTTGGGACATGGCCAACGTGGGAATTTGTTTTGTTCGACTATGCATATTTATCTATCTATCTATCTATCTATCTATCTATCTATCTATCTATCTATTTATGTATTGTTTTTGCTTAGGCCGTTGGGGTTAAGTGACTTGCCCAGGGTCACACAGCTAGTAAGTGTCAAGTGTTTGGTCTGAGGTCAGATTTGAACTCAGGTCCTTCTGACTTCAGGGCTGGTGCTTTATCCACTCTGACTATGCAAATTTATTACAAGAGTTGTTTTTTTTTTTTTAATGGGGGAGAGTAGGATGGAGAGAAAGTAAATATTAATTCAAAAATAAAATAAAATTGAAAACAAAAAGAAAATACATGCAAAAATACTTTGCAAACAGTAAAGTGCTATATAAATTCCTATTTGTGTAAGGAAATCTGTTAGGTGTTGAAGGGAACATAAACCTGAATTTTAAAAGAGCTGCTATTTGTCTATAGTAGAGGAGACTTCTGTACACCAAATAATTATAACCAAGGTAGACTGTGGTAAATATATAAGAGGTAAAAACAAAATGCTACAAGAGATCAGAGGTGGGAGAAATTGTTTCTACCTAGGAAGACTCAGGACAGACTTTATGGGGGGGGGTAGAGTTGCATCTAAATGATCAAAGGATCAGTAGGATTTCAACAGGAAAGTGGACAGAATGGCATTTCAGGAATATGGACCAGTGTAAGCTAGGACATAGCTATGGGAAACCAAAAAATAGGACTAAAAGAGTAGCAACTGCTACAATTTGAAAGGAGGATATATAAGGGAGAAGAATGGAATATTAACTCAGAATAGAAAATAAGGCTAAAATGGACCACCCTAAATACCTACATGTAAGAATTATTTAAGTGTAGGAGAGAATAAAGGCCTTTGAACCAGTAACTTGCTAAATCAGCCTACCATAGTTCCAGTAACTTCTAAAAATGCTTTGTTCCCAGAGAAAAACTGAAGAATTTGACTCATTAAATGCAAGTAATATAATACAAAGTCAGTCTATAGTTAGGATTCCTTTAACAGTTCGGTGTGTGAAAAATGATTTTTCATGGTAATCTATCTTGGAGACTCAGAGCTCCACCCTGCCAGCTTTCTGCTTCAGAGTTCTTCAGAAGGACATCACTGATAATGAGATTGCATTGAATCTTCTTACCGTGGTGAAACCTGACCCAACCCTGAATTGATTTTATCCTACTCAGGCTTGGGTGGAAACAGATACTACTGCCCAGATCTACAGAGGCTGGGAGTGGTCTGGAATGATGGCAGGTTGATATGAGCCTCTGTTGAAAGGGTATATAATGTTGTATCCCCAAATCCCTTTTGAGCCAGTGCTGAACTGGCCCCCTTGAGGAGGCCCAGTTTTGGACTGAACTCCCATGCAATGCATGTCAAGCCAGCTTGAGAGAAATTAAATTGTGGACACATGTATCCCAATTTTGTTTGTTTCTTTCTTAGATAATTGGGGTTCTTGGGATTCATGGGTTTTGGGGTTCACAGGTACAACTTATGGACCCCTTCTCAGAATAATGGTTTAAATGTATAAAATAAATACATAGGATAAGGAAGCCAAAGATTAGTGAAAAGATATATATATATATATGTTATATGTGAATATATATAATATGTATGTATGTATTTCCCATCCAAGGTCACACATCCCCTGAAATCTATACATAAGGGCCCAAGGAACTCAGATTAAGATCCTCTGGCCTATATGATAATGTGACTATATTTTAAAATACAAAAATAGCACATCATCTATACAAATAAGTGCCCTGTCATCCAAAGTAATGAATCTGAAACACTATACAATTATTACAATGCTACTTTTGCTCAAAACTTTTTTTGACTCTTGTTTTCAGAGCTATTCTTTTTTTGTATTTTTAATAGTAGCTAAACTATCTTTTGAGAGTAGAGTTAATTTTTAGAAACTTCAAAAAGTTATCCAAAGTCAAGTCTGATAATCACTCTGAAAAATTTAGTTTTAGGGTTTTTTAAATTACAGCTACAAAGTAATAAAACTGCTTTTTTGGTTAGCTCATAAATCAGTTCCTTAGTTAATTCCAAAATAGTTAAAAACAAAACAAAAATCTTAGGCAAATGTTGTCCCAGCATTACTGGGATAAATCCGAAGAGGAGGACTTTGAAGGATAAGCCTCATTTGGATAAGTTCTTTTAGGTGTTAAAATAAAAGTATTATGACTTTATGATTATACCTTAAATGATGCTAAGGCAAATAATTTAACTTTATTGAAATAACTTAGAGAATAACAATTAAAAAGCAGTTAACATTTTTGAGACTTTGATACTGTTATGATATATATTTAAATATTTTTGTTTAAAAAGCTCATTGTTACTGTGAACACACAAGTTTAATATTTTATCAATTCATATATCTAAGTGGAAAATAAAGAGCGTTTTTGCCAAGGGTAAAAATTGTTTTATGACTTGGATCAGACTTACAATAGCATTTTTAAAGGAACAATCCTTGAAGTCTATGAAATATGTATTTCATGGATAGATAATGCATAATGGAGAAAATAAATATTTGAATTAGACATTTATTAAATCTAATAATTCATAGCTTTAATTGTTCTATCCATCAATGTGATGAATAATCCTGATTAGTTATACTCTGAAATAATGTCTCTGAAAATGATATGTTTGAAGCCTGTGAGATACTTCATAAATTCTGGTAATTTTTCTTCAGATTAATCCAAATATAAAGCAGTCGGAATATGATTATTAAAATCCATAAGTGGGAAAGTTTGAAGCAGACCAGATTCTAATTCTCTTGAAAACTAATTTCTTTAAAACCTTTCACTAGAAGGTGAGTTGGAATGGTTGAGGATTTTCAATGGTCTTTCTGTAGCTGTAATCCCAATGGTGGCTATTATGAGCAGGCAACTGGTGATCTATGGTTCCATCTGGAAGGATCTGAAGTATAATTATAAAATGTGTGGTTATTACAACATAAATAATATTTTCTTTTTGTAGGCAATTGGGGTTAAGTGACTTGCCCAGGGTCACACAGCTAATAAGTGTCAAGTGTTTGGTCTGAGACTGGATTTGAACTCAGGTCCTCCTGACTTCAGGGCCAGTGCTCTATCCACTGTGCCACCTAGCTGCCCCCATAAACAATATTTTCAGTATAGCATTAACACAGTTGAATTTGAATCTAAAGAATGTTCACTGGTGAAAAAAATGTAACCTTTATACTTACAGATAATAAAAATAATTCCATGTATGAAGGCATCTTAGAAATAATATGGTTGTAGAAAACTGGACCAAATTTCTTGAAAACAGTTAGTGACAGAATTTATTTTTTTTTGGTTGGGGAAGCAGAGTCTGGATCTGTGATTTCACCATTATGAGGAACTCTATAATGAAGCAAGTCAGTAATTCTTTGGTAATTTTTAGTTATAGAAAGCTGCCTAGGGCATTGAGATGTTAAGTGACTTATCCAGGGTCACACAACTGTTACGTGCCAGAGACTGAAATCGAACCCAGGGGTCTTGCTGACTCTCATCCATCTCTCAGTCCACTATGCCACACTGCCTCTGGCTAATGGCAGATTTTATAAAAAAGTGGATACAAAAATAGATTAAAATTAATAAGCTATCAATCTTAATTCCATAGAAAGATATACCTCAATTGTGGCAGCTAGATGGTGCAATGAATAGAGTGCCAGGTATGGAGTCTGGAAGACTTGTCTTCCTGAATTCAAATCTGGCCTCAGACACTTACTAGCTTTGTGACCCTGCGCAAGTTACTTAACCCTCTGTGCCTCAGTTTCCTCATCTGTAAAATGACCTGGAAAAGGAAATGGCAAACCATTCCAGTATCTTTACCAAGAAAACCCCAAATGGGGTCATGAAGAGTTGGACATGACTGAAAATGACAGAACAACAACATAGTAGGAGAAAACCTAAGAAAGGAACTATAAAATAAGCATTTGTATACAGGATATTCCAAAAATCTTAGTACAGTTTAAAGCTACTAAAGCTTACTAAAAAAAGGCCAGTATAATACCTTATGGTAACCATTAAATCTTTTTCAGTAGTTCATAAAATAGTCACTTTCCCCTTCACCAACCATGAGTTGAAAAAGACACTGAGACCATTAACAGTTTTTTTTAGAGAAAATAATTAATTTACCAAAGAAATATTGGAATTTGTTTCATCTATCTCAGGTTTTTCTTCTCTCATGTTTTCTTTTACTATGTAGCTAGATTAATTATTGAGAAATATCTTTTTATAGAATTGATAACTTACTAACCTTAACACACTTTTATACTACTTTTACACTATTTTTAAAAATTAATGTGTATGTATGTGCTGTTACCTCCCTAGAACTACTTATTGTAGAATGGAATTTAATTCAAGCTGCGTTGGTTTTTTAAGCTATCATAGCTTAAACTGCACCAAGACTTTTGGGACACTGAATTATGCCTTCTGGAAATGTTGAACTAGAATATAAAATACCCTTTTTGTAAAGATGGTTGATGTTTACTGGATTTTTTTTCTCTTTCTTTTTTACACAATTCTATCTAAATATATTTTGAACTTTCCTAACCTGCCAATTCCTTAAAATAGATCGCTACTCTTGATAAAAATTAAATTGCATATAAAATGATATAAAAATAGATATAAAATGAATTCAATAAATATTTATTGAACTGAATTGAATTGAATGTAGTTTTCCTAAACATATAAACAATTCAATGAGAAACATCAGCCACTAGTTCTTTGGTTAAAACAAGTAAGTTGTAGTTTGGGTTCATATATTTGTTTCTTTTGCCCCTAGGGTTTTAAAAATAATACTAATAGAAGGCATGGCACCCTGAAAGTATAATAAAGAGAAGATGTAATTTCAACTTTACTTCTCAAAGTCATGCTGTCTGCACTCATGCCCTATGCTAAGTTCTTGAATTGTGTATATTTAAAATAAAATTCTGATCCAAAATGACAAAATTGAAATCTGAACACTCATTAGTACATGTGGCTGGAGAGAGAGATGACGGGTAGATAGCCAGAGGGCTCTCCTGTCACTCTCACAATGAAGGAAGGAAGTGAGTACACATTTTCAGCAGACTGTGGTACCTAGAGAAGAGCTACCTGGGATGGGCAGGCATAGATGGGTTTGCAGTCTGAATCATTGGAGGGAACTTTTGAATCAAGGAGATCACAGGTCTATTTGAATATTTGAGAAGATGATTACACAATCCCTAAATAGCGCCAAAGTTGGGTGTTACAAAAAGCTGGATCTGTCTAAAGTGTTTGCTATTAGAAATGCCAGAAAGTCCTTACTAACAGTTTCACCTACGGAATACTGCTCTATAAATTGTTATTAAACTGTTCATTTCTCCCTTCAAAGTGATGGCTATTGCTTTTAAGCTCACACTCCTAAATTCAACACTTAGAGTATTTATATCATTTCACCTAAAAGTCTATTTGTTGTTTACTCATTTTAAGTATTGCTATATTCTTCAGTCCCTCGAAATAAACAGGGCAGCTAGATGGTACAGTGGACAGAATGCTGGGCCAGGAGTCAGGAAGATTCCTCTTCCTGAGTTCAAATCTGGCCTCAGATGCTTTTCAGCTGTGTGACCCTGGACAAGTCATTTAACCCTGTTTGTCTCAGTTCCTCATCTGTAAAATGATAAATGGCAAATCACTCCAGTATCTTTGCCAAGAAAACTCCAAATGGGGTCACAAAGTGCTACTTTCATGACTGAAAAATAACTAAACAACAAGAAGAAATGAACAGTGATTTCTGCTTTTAAGTACAAGTGTTCCTCATTGTGAATAGCATCTAGATTTGTACACCACAAATCTTATAAACAAAGTTGTTGAGTATTTTTTTTAAGGAAACAAATAGGATTTTCATAAATACAGGCCAATCTTAAATAATGGTGCCATCCATTCCTTCTGCCATATATACATACTGCTCCTGTGTGTGTATGTGTGTGTGTGTGTGTATGTGTGTGTGTGTGTGTGAAATAAAGTGGAAAAATCAAGAAATAAGCTTTCCGCAATGTAAAGTTTTAAATAGAACATTACCTGAAAATAGAAACTATAATCTATAATTTATGTACCAATAATATACCAATGTACCAATTATGTATCAATAATATACCAATAACCAAATTAATCTATAATTTATGTACCAATAATGTGCTTGTCAAGATATGATTAGCCTTTGGAAAAATCCTAGCAGATACTCTATTTTAAGGTATGGGGGAATGAAAATCAACTTACCTGACCGATCTGTGGTGACTTTAAGCATATCATCATCTTCATCACAACTATCACAGCTTAATAATTGGATGACTGTTTCTGACTCAGCTTCAATTTCATTTACATCTATTTCCTGTTTATAAAATGTTCTTAATGCAACAAGACGGTGATGTATTGCTGCATAAAGACATCCAACATCTTTAGCACTTGCCTGCACAAAAAAATGAAATTGTTAAGAATAGTCATAGACTAGTACTTTTAAACATATCTCCTATGTCTAGGAGTTCCTTTTTAAGTAATTTTCCATCCTCCTTAATAATATGATTACTTGACTTGGGTACCCTGAAGGAAAAGTGCCTATGTAGCATAAATCTAGTGGAGTGTGTAGATAATAATCACATCCCCCCTCCAACTGTTGAAAAACAACCCACATTAAATTAAATTCCATTCTATTGTAGTTGTAAGGAGGTAATGGCACATGGATATACAACAACATTGAGAAAGCAAAGTTGAGTGATTTTAAAGACATTTTATTTGAACTTAGAATTAGCTCTATGGAATTTAGTTTTATAGATGACTGTAGGACCTTTTTCATGGAGGAAAAGGAAGTTACGCCTTGACTCCATAAACACACATTACTGTCACTGACAATTGTCACCATAAAGGTAAAAAGAATATTTTTTAAAAGGATGGGGAAGCAAACAAATTAATAAAAGCATTTTAAAACAGAATATTTGTTAAATCAATTTTAGAACATAATCTTTTTAGTGACTTATAGAGAGGAATCATGCTACTTCATGTATCCTAACTAGTGTCTAGAACATTTATAAATTTCAAACAATATTAGCTGATAAGGTCAGTTTGAGAGTACTAGTTTCTAGGTCATGATGAGTTAGAGAAAAAATTTTTCAATGTCCTCACTCACTGGAGGGGAGCTGAGCTCTTCCACTTCTTCAGGAATCAACTAAAATTTTTCTTTGGCCATTTTAAAACATCTCAGATTCTAATAGGCAGGGCATCAAATCAGGTTAAATAATTCCAATACTCTAACCACTTGATTGGAAAACAGATTACTTGGGGAGCAGGTCATGTAGGCAAAGGGTATGGCAATGCTTCCCCCATTTTCACAGGACTCTGCTTGGACATCCTGGCATCCCCTCAAAACACTGCCTTTTTCTAAAACAAAACCTAACTACTGGGCATTCCCACAGATTCCTATGTCCTTTTCCATTACAGGAACACTATCCTGTATTGTTTTTAAATTAGTATAATAACTTTATATTTGTATAGTATCTTATAGTTTTAAAAGCATTTTCCTATACATTATTTCAGAGGAAATCAAGTTTGTTTCCCCCCCATGGTAGGCCCAATGATCAGAAATTTGTATGTATAGACTACTATTTTTTATATATTAATAATTAATAATCTATTAATACCTGTTAGTAGGATACCAGATAGGAGGCAGTAGTACAATGGCAACTGCAGGCATGTGGTTAGGCTCTATGGTTCTATTCTTTCATGTTAATTAGCTATATCAAGCAAAATTTTTCTTTTTCTTTTTTTTTTCAATTTTTGGGCAATTGGGATTAAGTGACTTGTGGCAATTGGGGTTAAGTGACTTGTGCTTTTTCCCTAAACATCTCAAACAGACTACACTCTGGAATCAGGGTAGCATATGGCCATTGGGTCAACTGATAAAAACCAAGACATTATCTCATTTGATCATCATCATATAGGCATGGCAGATATTACTCTCATTTTGAAGATGAGGAAACTATCAGATTACACACTAAATGGCAGAAATGGGACTAGAATCTAGATTTTAAAATATTTATAATCCAATTCTTTTGCCACAATTTGATGCTGTATTTTCTTCAATCATTCTAAAGATCTTTTATTTCATCAGAATTAGTAAATCTATCATTGATGTAAATCAGAACATCTCTAAGCCTTAGAAGCCTATCTTAATTAAATTTAATTAAATAAATATTTACATTTCCTATTCTGTGGAATGAACCTGAATTAGGTACTATGGATATGGAGCTGTCAAAATGACATGACTGATTGACATGCACACAAGAATTTATAATATGAATCAGAATAGGATAGGTCCTTTGGAGAAGTCAAAGCAAAAGGGAAAAGAGATTAGGAATGGGTAAATTCTAGCTTGGAGAATTTGGGAAAGTTTCATACAAAAGAAGTGGCACCTAATGAGGATCTTAATAGAAGAGGATTCCAAAAGGCAGAGATACAGAACAGTTCCGCTTATAAGCCTACCTGCATAAAGAAAGGATAGTATGAGATCAGGAAACGGCTAATTGTCGGAGATGACTGGATTAGAGTGTACAAAGGTTAGTTTAAAACAAGTCTGGAAAGACAGGTTGAAGACAGATCTTAGAGGGTTCTGTGTTCCATAATAAATTTTATTCTATGTTGCTTGTTTGTAATGCTAGACAATGGGAAGCTGTTGAAGGTCGTTGGGCAGGGTGGTGACATACTCTGACCTGAAAATTGGAAAGATTACTTTGGCACTAATGTGAAGGATAGATTGGAGAGGACAGAACTAGAGAAGGGAAACCAGTTAGACTTTCAAAATAGTGTAGGCAAAAGGTAATGGATGTGAAATGTTACCTTTGACCCAGCTGTATCACTACTGGCTCTGTGTCCCAAAGAGATCAAAGAAAAGGGGGAAAGACTTATTTTGTACAAAAATATTTATAGCAGCTCTTTTTGTAATGGCAAAGAACTGGAAACTTAAGGCATGCCCATCAATTGGGGAATGGTTTAGAAAATTGTGATATATGATTATGATGTGATATTATTGTGCTATAAGAAATGAAGAAGGGGATTGTTTCAGAAAAACCAGGAAAGATTTATATGAACTAATGCAAAGTCAAGTGAACAGAAACAGGAGAACATCACACACAGTAATAGTAATATTGTAAGAATGATCAGTTGTGAAAGATTTAGCTACTCTGATCAAGATAATGATCCAAGACAATTCAGGACTTAGGACGAAAAATGCTATCTGCCTCCAGAGAAAGAAATTATGAATTCTAAGTGCAAACTCAAGCATACTTTTTTCTTTACTTAATTTTTCTTGTTTTTGTCTGTTTTTTCTTCTGCAACATGGCTAATATGGAAATACATTTTGCATGACTTCACATGTACAATCAATATCAAATTGCTTGCTTTCTCAAGGAGGGGAGAGGGGCACTTATTCAATGCACATTGTTTGACTTTCAAAGTTTTGAATACAATTCATTGGAAAGATGGCAGTGCCATCAACAGAGAAAGACATTAGAAGAGGAATACTTTGGAGGGAGGAAAAGGTCAGTTTTGATTGCGTTGGGTTTGAAGTGCTACAGGATAACCAGTTAGCAATGTCAGTTGTCAAATTTCTAACTTCACAGTATCTCTCTCATATGTCACCTTCTCTCCTTTCATCTACCACTTTAGTTCAGGCTCTCATCACCTGTTGTTTGTACTACTGCAATTACCTTCCAATTGATGTCTCTACCTCAGTTCTCTCCTCATTTTAAACCATTGTCAATACAGCCGCCAAAATGATTTTCCTGAAACAAAGTCAAGATGGCACAGTTGAATGGAAGCGTCTATGACTAGTTTGCTCAGCACACTTCCTCCACAACGATCTAGAAAATGTGCCAGACCAAATTCTGATTGGGAAAGCCAAAAAGAAAGTTACAATGAGTCATTTTTCCAGTCTAGGGTAGCTTAGGGAAACCAACAGAAAAGTTTGCAGTCATGGCACATGGTGGCAGTAGTGGAGAGAATTTCAGTGCTTAAAGATAGAAATGGGGCTGAGACAGAGCACCAGAGCAGAAAGAGATGCCAGGGGATCCCTGAACTAGGACCGGGTGCTAGAATGGGTTCCATGTGGTAGTTCTGTCACCTATTACCCAGTTCATTTACCCTCAAAGAAAAATTCAAGTCGAACACAAGCCCAAACAAGAACTTTAAGAAGAATTTTTAAAAAGAGTTTAAAAAGAGTAAAAAAAATGAAAAACCAAATGAGGATTGTAGAGGAAAAATGGGAAAAGAAATGAGGGCTATGGAAGGAAGACATGAAAAGGGAATCAACAGCTTGGTAAAAAGAAGTACAAAACCTTACTTAAGAAAATAACTCCTTGAAAATTAGAATTGGCTAAGTGGAAAATAATGACTCCATGAGACATGAAAAAGTAATAAACAAAAAGACTGAAAGAAATGAAATAAAATGTGAGATATCTCATAGAAAAAACAACTGACCTGGAAAACAGATTGAGGAGAGATTTTTTTTTTTTTGTTAGGCAATTGGGCTTAAGTGACTTGCCCAGGGTCACACAGCTAGTAAGTGTTAAGTGTTTGGTCTGAGGACAGATTTCAACTCAGGTCCTCCTGACTTCAGGGCCGGTGCTCTATCCACTGCACCACCTAGCTGCCTCCAAGGAGAGATAATTTAAGAATCATCATATTACCTAAAAGCCATGAACAAAAAACAAAAGAGCCTAGATATTATATTTCAAGAAATCTTGAAAGAAAACTTTCAAGATATCTTAGAACCAGAGAGCAAAGTAAAAATTGAAAGAATCCACTAGTTACCTCCTGAAGAAACCCCAAAATGAAAACTCCCAGGAATATCATGGCCTAATTCCAGAGCTCCCAGGTAAGGGAAAATACTGTAAGTAGCCAGAAGGAAAGGATTCAAGCACATGGAGCCACAGTACGGATCATGTAAGATTTAATAGCTACCACTATAATGGGACAGAATATTCTAGAAGGCAGAGACTAGGGATTACAACCAAGAATAACCTACCCACCGAAACAGAGTATAAACCTACAGAGGAAAACATGCATCTTTAATGAAATAGAGAACTTTTTAGCATTACTAATGAAAAGACCAAAGCCGAGCAGAAAATTTTTCATTAGAACACAAGTCTCAAGAGAAGCATTAAAAATGAGTGATAAATCGTAAGTGACTAGTGAAGGTCAAACTGTTCACATTCATTCTTATATAGGGAGATGATGCATGTAACTCTTTAAAACTTTATCATTAGAGGACAAATATATGAAAGAAATTGTCTATTGGATCTATGAATAGGGGACTTGATGTTCATGATGAAGAGTTCTATCTCTAAAGAGATAGAGAAGTTCACAGAAAGTAAAATGGATAATTTTGATTACATAAAATTAAAGTTTTTATACAAATAAAACCAATGCAGCTAAAATGATAAGAAAAGCAGAAAAGTATGTGTGTGGGGGGGGAAGGGACAGAGAGGAATCTTTGCAGCAAGTATCTTTTCTAATAAAGGCCTCATTTCTTTTCTTTTCTTTTCTTTTTTTTTTTTGGTGATACAATTGGGGTTAAGTGACCTGCCCAGGGTCACACAGCTAGTAAGTGTCAAGTGTCTGAGGTCACGTTTGAATTCAGGTCTTCCTGACTCCAGGGCTGGTGCTCTATCCACTGTGCCACCCAGATGCCCAAATTATATATATTACATGGTGCAATGGATAGATTACTGGGTCTACTCAGGAAGATTCATTTTCCTGAGTTCAAATTCAGCCTCAGACACTTAGTAGCTGTGTCACCCTGGGCAAGTCACTTAACCCTGCTTGCCTCAGTTTCCTCATCTGTAAAATGAGCTGGAAAAGGAAATGGCAAACAACTCTAGTATCTTTGCCAAGAACAACCCAAATGGAGTCATGAAGGTGCTGTGGAAATGTAGGCAGCAAGTATAGACAAATTAAAAAATACTTTTGCAGTAAAGAGTAAAGAGAATAACGTTTTGAGAGGCTAGAAGGCCAAAGGAAAGTTTTTGTAAGATGGATACAACCTGAGCATGTTAGAGGAAGAAGCCTCTAGAGGGGGAGAGATTGAAGGAACAGGAAAAAGAGGGGATGGTTGATAGAGCAAAATCACAAGGAATACAGGATGACACAAAAATTAGGGTACATGTGTACGTGCTCGTGTGTGTGCGTGTGTGTGTGAGAGAAAGAGAGAGAGAGAGAGAGAGAGAGAGAGAGAGAGAGAGAGAGAGAAAGGGAGGGAGGGGGAGAGAGAGAATGACAATGTTAACTATGGCAAAGAGGAGCTGTTCCTTTGAGATTGAATGGAAGGAGGGGAGAATGGATAAGGACATGAAAAGCAGTGGAGGAAGGAAGGGGAAATGTTGATTCTCTTTCAATAAATATGCAACATGGAAATGTGTTTTGCATTACTACACATGTATAACCTATGTTACATTGCTTACCTTCTCAATTTGGCGGGGGAGGGAGGGAGAGAATTTGGATCTCAAAATTTGAAAAAAAGAATATTAAAATTGTTTTTACATGTAATTCGGGGGAAATAAAATATTAAATTTTAAAAAAATAAATATATAACAGTGATTTTTGGATGGACTCATAATGCCCTTAATTCTTTCAGTTAAGATGCAAGTACATTGCTAAGGTATGAGTTAGAAGTGACCTTGGAGCACTCACCTAGTTTAACTCCCATATTTTATTTTCCTCAAATGGAGAAACAGAATCAGATATTAAATGACCTGGCCAAAATGACACAGTGGTAACCCGGCAGGGCCAGGTTTGGAATCCAAATCTCCTGACCTGGTCCAGATCCAGGTCTATGGTCCTTCTCACTATGCCAGTGCTGCCAATAACAACAAATAAAACATTTGGGGGAAAAGTGGCCGAAACTAAAATATCAATAATGCTCTCCTACCAATACTAAATACTGAATAATACCAATAATATCAAAACCAATACTTAAAATGCATGTGAGAAGATCTTGATAGGTTTTCACAAGGCAGGATTTTGAACAGGTAGCCTGCTTTCTTTCCTTAAATTCATGTGTTGTGTGTTGGGGGAAGGGGAGAGGATGTGTATTTAAGATATTGAGATTGGTTCAGCCGCTGACTTCATTAGTCAAATAGCTTGACAAGAATGTGACAAGATCTAAATATTAATTCCTAAATAGCTACCAGTATCCTAGCAAAGAGTACTTACAAATGATTGACAGTTGTAATGTTATACTAAATTCTATGTCAGTGTTTGGACAGCACAGGTCTACTGTATATTTTAAAAATATGAAGAGTGGTCTGAAATTTTAGTAATAGCTTTGGGGCTGGGGCTAGAGGAGAGATACCAAAACTATGATTTCACTGATACACGGGAATGAGTGTGAGAAGATTCCTTTTATCAAAGCAGGTGGGCACCTTATTCTGTATTTTAAAGTCTTAGAGTAGATTAAGGCTACTGAGTAATTATGATGATCTCAGTGTCACACAATGGTCAAAAGCAGGACTTGAACCCAGGTCTTCCTGACTCTAAAGTCAGTTTGTTCTTTCACTCTGGCCATTTTCTGCCCTACCATTTACTGCTATTCTACTTTCCAAAGTGGACCTGGCAGAGATCATGCCTGGCATGGGCTAAGCCACTCAACCCTGTAAGGTGAAGCCTTTTCTTCACCCTTGCCATTTTTCCATCGCCCTCTCCCTTCCATTGTTTTGCTCTGAAAACTGTAACAAAATCAACACAACCTTGAACAACCCCCTTGAAAGGACATGTCAATCCACTGCACTAATGTTCAACTCACCATTTTGGAGACTTTTCAGACCATAACTCCATACCTTGTCTCCACTTCCCTAAAATGGATTATTTCCCATTAGAATGTCAGCTCTTTGAATGCAAGGGCTAATTTTTGTACTTATATATTCCCGGTGCTTAGCATATAGTGAACATGATAAATAACTTATTTCATTCATTCATTTATTTTCTTTCCTATGAGAATGCTATAATGCTGACTCTCATAGTTACTGTAAAAAAAAAAATCAAGTCACTTGCTCACTCCAGTGGGCTAGATATATACCATAAGATAATTATATTTCTTAAGACAAACAAAAAACCTCAAATGTCTTACCTGAATTAAAAATATTTTGATGGAACAGTCATCTAAATCTGTGGCAGTGATGCGTAGATTTTTGAGACTTGCTCTTTGTATCTCCATTTGTGCCCAGAGTTTGCTGTTGAGGATCAGCCTTAGACTGCCTTGATTTCGCATAACTAAAACAGGAATGTGTATGTGTTAAGGGCTATAGAAAAAAAATCAATTCCTCAGTTTTCCTAGGATTTGCTATCATTTGAAGAATAGCAAGTTAAAAAAAATTTTCTTTTCAGATTGTGTGCCCATTATAAATTTTTTGATCGGGATTAAAGTCTTGTTTTCAGATTAGATTAGGAGTTCATTTTATTGTAAGCTTAAAAAAAAAAGGATTCAATGCCATGAACTTAATATAAAAGGGAAGGTGAGTACTGGAAGGGAGCCACAAAATTCATAAGATCTGCAGCAATGACCAGAATCTGAAGAATCCTGCCTTACTCTGGGAAGAGCCATGGACCTGCTAGTCCTTTTCTGTCCCCAAACCTTCTTAAACCAGAGCAAAGGACAAAAATCCCCTATCTTAGAACCAGTGGGCAAACCTTGGTTATAATGATTTACCTACTTGGCCTCAGTTCCATTCACTATCTTTTTTCTTTGCACGAGGCTGAACCATTCTTCTGTACTTGAATCCCCGTGACCTCCTGTTTTCTGCATCTTCTAGATAGCTCTAATCATGCTTTTCTCCATGTTTTCCTGAATGGCCCAGGCCTCTGGATTTAATAATCTCTCTCAGACTGTGCTTCATTGCACCTTGCATAGACCTCTTAAGACTGACCCTGGCCCACCTACCTAATCTTTTTTTTTTAAGGCAATTGGGGTTAAGTGACTTGCCCAGGGCCACACAGTTAGTAAGTATCAAGTGTTTGGTCTGAGGCCAGATTTGAACTCGGGTCCTCCTGATTTCAGGGCCAGTGCTCTATCCACTGTGTCACCCAGATGCCCCCCACTTGATTTTAAATGTTTGTTTGTCTGTTCTTTTTGGACAAAGGTTCTGAATTATCTAGGTCAGGGGTGGGGAACCTGCCACCTTGAGAGTGGAGTCAAGAAAACCTGAGTTCAAGTTTGACCTCAGACACTTACTAGTCATGGAATGATACCCTGGGCAAGTCACTTTACTTCTGTTTGCCTCAGTTTCCTCAACTGAGGAATGGGGATATTAACAGCATCTCCTTCACAGGATTGTTGTGAGAATCAAATAAGATAACTTATGTAAAGCACTTAGCACAGTCCCTGGCACGTAATAGGTGCTATAGAAATGCTTCTTCCATTCCATTTGCTTCCCACTAGAGCTAACTCACTGTATCACCGTGTGCTGTATGTTCAGGGGAAGTTTTATAATTATTATAATCATAACTAGGAATTCAGGTACCTGGGCAAATTCACTTTGGGGGAGAAGTTTAAGGTATGACCACTCCTGTGCTTGGCTGAGGAAGACTGCAGATAGAAGTCAGAGTTGTTGAGAAGATTCAGGACCTGTAAGGTCAGGGTGTTAGAAGGGGCAGAAGTTGGGGTGGAGAAAAAGATTGTGAGAGGGGGAGCTAGGTGGCACAGTGGATAGAGCACCTGCCCTGAATTCAGGAGGACCTGAGTTGAAATCTGGCCTCAGACCAAACACTTGACACTTACTAGCTGTGTGACCCTGGGCAAGTTACTTAACCCCAATTGCCTTAAAAAAAATTATGAGAGTTGGAGTTATTAAAGAGGAAGGAGAGACGTTTCACAGATGATAACAACACAAATCCAAACAGGATAGAGTGAGTCTTACAAGTGAAGAGGAGGTGGTTGACTAGTGATGGTGGCTCAGGCAGGGTCTAAAAGTCCCAGTGGGAAACAAGTAGTGTTATAGCTCCTCCTCCTGGCCTTTTCAAAAGAGAGAGAGAGAGAAAGAGGCAGAGAGAGACAGACAGAGAGACAGAGAAAGACAGAGAGACAGAGAGAGAGAGAGAAAAGCAGGAAGCTTTGAGATGGTGCCAATAGATGAGGTGTCTTAAGAAAAAAGCTGATTTCACTGAGCATCAGAATTTGGGAGGAAGGTGATAGAAAAAGATTTAGGGGGAAGGAGAGCTGAATAACAACACAGAAGAGTTTCAGAGGGGATAGTGGCAATGGAAGTATGGGAAAACAACACAAAAAGATTCCGGAGTTCTAATTAATGCACTGATCAATCATAACTTCAGAGGACCGACAGCGAAGTATGCCAAGAGGCTGTCTGTTCCTTTCCATAGGGTAAGAAAGAAGACTTGATATAGTCTTTCCATCAATAAAACATTTAAAATGAAAAATAAGGGAAGGAAAAATACAGAAGGCTAGGAACTCGAGAGGACTAGCCTTGAACTTGTCATGAGAGGGAACAGCAATGTCTAAAACGCGCTGCCTTTGTTACTGCCGTACCTTCTCCTTCCAGGTGATCCTGGGTATCCCTGCGTAACTCAGGATACAAGTCTCCAAGCCAGGTAGCAAGTTAGGGGAGGTCTACCGGCGGGGGGGTGGGGTGAGTTCTAGGGAGAGGCAAAATGACGGTGTGGTCCTAGAGAGTTGGGCCTACCGCTCTGATGTAGGAGAGGACAAAGACCCGGACGTTCCATGCCGGTTCTGGCTCTGGCAATTGGTGTGATGTCAAGAGCACAAAAATAGGATCAGCTAGGCAGAAAGCAGTTTGTGAGGAAGGAGGAGGAGGAGGGAGAAAAACAACAACAACCAGAACGTGAAGAACCAGGAGAATGCCATGAGGAAGGAGAAGAGCAGTGATAGCAACCAAAGGATAGTAGCGTGAAGAAGAGGAAAAGGGAGAAGTAGAAAGATAAGGCACCTTTTTATTTTCATTTCCTTTTCTAAAATATCAGGAACTTGGAGACTGCTAGACTCTTGAAAGCCTCGCGTTTAGATTCTACTTTGAAAAAAAAGTCATAAAGTCACTGATTTAGACCTGAAGGGGACTTCAGAGGTCATCTGGTCCAACCCCCTCTCTTCAGAGATGAAGACCGAGGCTCAGGGAGGTTAAGTGACTTGTCCCAGGTCACACAGGTAGCAGACATCAAAGGCGAGGATTTGAACCCAGGTGCTCTGATTTCCGAGCCAGTGATCTTTCCATTGTACCAAAGATAAAGTGATTTTTTTAGTCTAATAAATCTTATCCATCCCTTAATGCTCAACGTAAGTTTTACTTCGTATGATTGTGGATTTAGAGAGGGAAGGGGGAACTCGGAGGCTGTTCATTTTACAGCTAAGAAAACTGAGGCAGAGAGGTCAAGTGAATTGCTCGACATCATTGCTTGACAGAGATTAATAAGTCTCTGAGGCAGGATTTGATTCCAGATCTTTCTGGCTTGAAGGCAGATCTCCTTTGCCCTCATGCTGCCTCTCATTTTACGTTGCTGTTATTTAATTCTGTTCCCTAATTGATAAATGGTTAAAGGATAAGAACAAACAGTTTTCGGAAGAAAATATTCAACTATTGATAAACATATTTAAAAATGCTCTAAGTCACTAACAATTAGAGAAATGTCAATTAAGATAACTCTGAGGTTCCATCTCATACCCATCAGATTGGCAAAGTTGGCAAAAAAAAGTGAGTGACAAATGCTGTGGGAAAACAGGTGTATTAATGCACTGCTGGATGAGTTGTGGACTAGTCCAGCCATTCTGGAAAGTAAGTTGGAATTAAGCCCTCAATAGCCATTAAATCATGCATACATACATATCGTTTGACCCAGTGATACATTAGGTCTATATGCCAAGCAGATCAAAGAAAGAAGAAAAGGATTCATATATATAACAAAATTTATAACAACTCATTTTGTGGTAGCACAGAAGTGGAAACAAGTGGTGTCGATTAATTGGGAAAGGGCTAAATGAGTTATGATATACATAAATGATAGATTTTGTTGTAAAAAATGATGAAAGGGGATGGTTTTAAAGAAACCTTAAATGACTTATATAAACTGATGCAGAGTGAGGTAAAGCAGAACTATGACAATTTATACAATAACAGCAATAATATAAAGACAAACAACTTTGAAAGATTAAGGAACTTTGATTAACACAATGATTGATGACAATTTCACAATACTCAAGACTAAACACTTGCCTCTTGATAGAGAGGTGATTAATTCAGAGTACAGACTCTCTCTCTCTCTCTGTTTCCTTCCTTCCCTCCCTCCATATGTATGTATGTATGAACACAAATATTTGAACATGGGCAATATGGGAAATGGTTTTGTACATGTTTGCAACAGGGGTTTTGTTTTATCTTGCATTCTCAGTAGAGGGAAGAGGTGGGAGGGAGAGAATTTGGATCAGAAAATAAAATTTAATTTAGAAATAAAGATATTTAACCATGCCTGTGTAGGTCCCATCTCTTTTTATGAATGTACCTAACAGTAAGTACTGTGACTTCTCTTTCTTTGCTTTTACACAACAAAGTGCTATGCATGTATAAAGTACTGAAGGCCACTAAGTAAATATTTTTGAATGTGTGGCTATCACAAACAAACAAACATAGTGACTTTGAATTCAAAGTCAGTATTATGAAACCTTATTTCTGGTTCTGCCTTAATTTGCAGCTATGTTAACCACTATGGCATTTTGCTTCTCTTTTCTCTGTCCCTTCTTGTGCTGCTCTGGAATTCCAGGAAGCAAAGGAATTCTAACAGCTGCCTTGAAGGATCCTTGCTCTGGAAAAACTGAGTCAACAAAACATGCCGGGGCAATATAAACAAAGGGGCTCAATGTAGCTGTAATTTCTCTGAAGGCTTGTGCCTGCCACCAAAATTATAGTGTTTTGGATATGTTGTTGTTTTAGGGTCAAGCCTGAGGAGGTCATAGTAAGGGTCAAATTTCCCCTAAGAAGTTATTTATTCTTCAACACAGTTGAAATGAATGTTGAGCACTCATTAGGAAAAGTACTTAATTGCTGGCAGGAAGCTCCCCCTCCCGCTCCCCCCACCCCAACTTAAAAAAAAAACACACACACAACAAACCACTTTATCTTTCCCTTTAAGGTAAACTCCAAATGCAATGAAGTTGTACACAATTATATCTTCTTCCACAAATATTTTTCATGGTAGAATATGAACTTTTCCATAAAGGTCTATGCTGCTGTCTCTTGGTGCAGATATGATCC